GAGAGACGTTCCATCAGCAGGGAGGTGAACCCAGAACCAGTTCCCCCACCAAAGCTGCGGAAAACCAAGAAGCCCTGAAGGCCTGTGCACTGGTCAGCCTAAGAAAGAAAGGAGTTTTCATTTTAGCCTTGGTGAAAGGTGCAATGACTTCTTTGAATTCCATAATCACATTGACTGAGATCTTTAAAAAAATCCTCTGAACAATATCTGCTAAGAAAGCAGCCCTAAAGAGCTTCTAAGTGCTAAGTGATTCAGAGAAACTTTTCACAATCAACTCTTGGGAGCTGGAGGGAGGGGATCTGTTAAAAGGCTATTTTAAATGAACTGTTTTCACTTCTGCAGGCAGAGGAATCATGAGGTCTGGAATGGATGCAGGGCTCAAGTTTTGGTGACTGGGAGGGCAACCTCTGGTGCCCTTGCTGTGACCGCAGAACAAAGGCAACCTCTTATCAGTTGGAGAGCTACCAACAGCAGGCCTGGGACCACCAGCCCCGTACAATGGATGTCTTACAGATTTCGGCAGCTGCTTTCTGAGCTGGAACACAACAGAATAGCCAAGATCCAATGCCCTGGTGCTGGAGTAAGGCCGGGTCTGGATCTGGCTCTACCTGTTCCTTGCCGTGTGACTTTGACCAAATTCATTTCTTAATCTCAGTTTTCTCGTTTATTAAATGAGGAGAATAGTAACCTACTTCAGGTTGTTGAGAATTAAATGAGTATCCGGAACAGTGCTCAGCACAGCAAGCACTCGTTATCAGAAAGTCTATTCATTCTGGGAAAGGCGATTTACTGTCACAATTCCATGTCCCTGTGTCACTGGGGCTTTCCGCCAGTTAACTGAGCTATTCTGACTATTGTATGAAAGGATGATTTTGTCATTTCAAACAAAGTATTCTGTTGACAATCTTCACTTCTCAAGGTGCCCAGAGATTTATGGACATTCTCTACTGAGCCCCTAGTTCACTTCTCCTGTGGGTCCATACTCTGAATGAGATCAATGCCAGGGCAGGCCCTAGTCTACCAATTTCACCCATTAAGCCTCATGTGGACACAGTAATAACACCAAGGACAAATGCAATTGTTTTGGTAGTTAATGAACTTCACTCCAGAACCCTCAATGGCTTTTACTAGGTTTACCTGTCCCTAAAGGCAGGTCCTGATTTCCAAGTCAGTACTTGTAGCTGAAGCTTGATTTGCAAACATAGGAACCATTAGCCCAGTTCTGCTGGGAAGACGATGATAAACATCTGAAAAAGTATGAAGCCATGAATGATGTAAGGCCATTCTTTTCAAAATAGACCAGTTGTTGCTGGGCTTAGCATAATGTGACTTTCCCGACAAGCTATTCCACCCAGGCCTTCATTCTTGATTTTTAATTACTTACAAGCTGCCCACATGCCTAAGGAGCAGAGTCATCTGATTGCCAGACTCTTAATTAAAATGATGCAAACAGAACACTTAGCAACTTTACCGATGTGAATAGTTGCCTTAGATTTTTCTGCCACAGGGCCCGTCCACACTGCCCTGAGCTCTAGTACAAAAAACGAGGGTACTGCTTTTTTGTGATTATATCTTAATACTTTCAAAGTTCCAATGACTTATACTTGCTTCTGTAACAAGGGAGCTCCATTGACTCCACTTTCAGTGTTGATGGAATTTCCCAGTGTCAGCTATTTCTAGTCAGTGTTACACTGGCTTCTTTTGCTATGAACTTTCTGTAATAACATGTCAGCAGCCCAATTTTTATGAATTTGATCAACTAGTTACATGTCAGTCAGCCACCTACTCACTGTGACTAGGATGACCTAAAAAGGGATGTCTCGGCCTGAAGCTGGGAAGCTGCCTGATTAATATGAACAAGGATATTTAATGGTCTTAAATGTCAGTAACACGGTTAAGGTGTCCTGGTACTCACCTTGACTTCAGGTAAACTGCCCTCACTGAATGAGCAATTGCCCAAATCTGCCTTGTAAGACACAGAAAGAGGCAAAAGAACACTATCCCCACCCCACATAGTTGTCCCATAGCTCAGGACCCTCTGGTTTAGAAGTCCAGTTATTTAGTGGGCAGTATAAAGTTCATTTTAGTGTGCAAAGAGTGATTCTTGCAGTTTGGTCTCTCAAAACTGTAAGAGAAAACTCTCATCCACTTTAAATAAAGTACTGTGTTTACCAGTTTCCGAACTCGGTCCAAGACGAGGTCAATGACCTCCTTGCCAATGGTGTAGTGACCTCGGGCATAGTTGTTGGCAGCATCTTCCTTGCCTGTGATGAGCTGCTCGGGGTGGAAGAGCTGGCGGTAGGTGCCAGTGCGAACTTCATCTGGAAAAGGAAAATGAAGCAGCCACCCATCACTAACAACCTGCACAAGTCTGCTTGACCCCAGAGCATCAATGGAGCCCCCAGGATACACCTCCTGTTCCGGACCCCCAGGATCTCATTGGGGTTACTGAGGTCAACTCACCAATGACCGTGGGTTCCAGGTCTACAAACACTGCCCTGGGCACATGTTTGCCAGCGCCTGTCTCACTGAAGAAGGTGCTGAAGGAGTCATCTCCTCCCCCAATAGTCTTGTCACTTGGCATCTGGCCATTAGGCTGGATGCCGTGTTCCAGGCAGTAGAGCTCCCAGCAGGCATTGC